TAATATAGACAAACAAATGAAATTCCAGGTTATGAGATAATATTTTTCTATTTAACTATAAGAACTGAAAGACCTAAGGATTTAAAGTCTTTAATGTCTTTAAAGATATGCTAAAGTACAGTTCACAAATCGAGCAGGGATAGAAGTTACAACATATTCATGCGGTTATTCCACATATAGGAAGTCCACAAGCCATTTTTCTTTCTCTCTCGTCTTTGCATAGAGTAAGCAAGCTTCCTATTTTCGTAATAAAAATCCTAAACAAACTTGAAGATTTGGGGAAATGCCAGAAACCCAAAGAATCGTTCCATGAAAAAACTAATTCACCGCTGAGCAAATACTGAGGGACGGTAGGGGGACACATAATTCATTGTTTTCTCTGTAACAACAAACAGGACCCTACGATCTAATAAGGTATATCACAATTTTTTTTTATATAGGAACATCAAAACGACGGTAAAGTGTGTTTGAGAAAAAATCAACCAGCAGCGGAAATAAAATAAAGCAGAACAGGACGGCATTATTTGAGCAGTACAAGGAGACGCAAATGTACTTTCCTTGAGAAAGGAAGGAGATAATCCGCTAGTTAAAATCACGAGGATACCATCGTACAGACACAAAAAGATAATGCGCAGTATTAGTTATGAAGGCATTCTTGCATAAACAAAATAAACCGAAGATGAGATATAAGGGGGCAGTTATCAATGGTTCTTCAGTATCCAACGCAATACCAAACTTTTCTCTTTACCCTAAGTTGAGATACTGACACATGCATATGGGCGCGAAGGGAGACTATGATGAGTCTACTATGTCCTGTTTCAGATTTTTCCACTAAATATGCCCCTATAAGTTATTCCCCCTAGAATTTCCCTTCGACTTCTAATCGAGTAGGCATTACCTTCTTCTCAGTCTCCTTTGCATGAATTTAAATGTCCTAATAGCTGTTTTTAACTGCCGCCTCCAGTGGCTTTCGATTTTATTTTATTTTATTTATTTATTTATTTTTTGCGCGCATACAAACTGCAAAGGCAGTTTCGTATTATTAGTACCGCTGCCTTCTCACCGAGGCCTACACGAAGAACACACAAAAGACACTGTAGTATAGAAATTGTTCTCTTGAAGGTATCCAAAGGGGGGGCACGAGTCCTTGAGGAAAGAAGTTTTCCTGTTAGGATTAAGAAAAATACAAAAGTATCACCTTTACTAACTTTAGTTTTTTATGTAAACTTAGCTTATGTACTAACATTCCATATCTCTAAAAACACAGAACGCTAACTTGTCTGATTCTGTATACTTCTTGTAAGTGATTATTTCACTTTTCAAGTTCACACCTGCTTTCAGAATTGGAGTTCCATACTCAATAGTGTAATATACTGAATAACTGCACAGGACAAGAGACTCCTACAAATCACACGCTCCGCTTTTACCTTTATCAGAATCATCATACGGACTTCTGTATCAGTGAATCCAAGACGTAAATGTGTCATATATGTGAGATTCCTTATTACACCCTAACAGGTAGTTTGTTTAGCACTGAAATATCTAGTTATACCTCCTATGGTATCCCTCTATGTAAGCCTCTGCATGTTGTCATTCTTGAAGTGGCACCAAGGATGAGGGTGACTAGAGTGACAAGCCACGCTCTCATGCATACAGCTTAATCACTCCTCGGTGGCCACTATTGTGCTAATCGGCATGTGGTGACTGAGCTGCACGTGTGCAGGAAACTGCATTCCAACGGCTGCACCGCAAGTAAGCCTGTGTTTGACTTCTGTCCTCTGTGTTGTGCTGCCCCTGTTGCTGTGCCTGTGTCTTTATGTCAGCTCGGTCTATCATATAGTACAAATACCTATCGACGGAAGGTCATTGTTGCTCGTCAATTGTCGAAATTTCTAGGTTAGGTACGTCGATCGGCGCAGATGTCTGTGTGCTACGTCTGCTCGGTTTTAGGCAATTGTATGAACAAGTCTCATTCTTTCCGCGTTCTTAGTGCTTTTCGGAGGAACATCTTTCATTAACTGATTTACGTTCTCCTTAAACCCATACGTTCACTTGCTGTTTAGGAAGCAGGGGAACTGCACACACTGTTTACGTTGACGTCAATTCCAGTCTTGCTGACAGCCTTCCGCGTTTTCCTAGAGCAAGGAACCGGAAAACGTAGGATAAATCATTTCAATAAATATCGTCTGTGGATTTCGCCATCATGGCAAGTCTCGTGAAACTGATTTAAAAGAGGATCTTACAGGCTTGAAATATATGAAAATAGATTAATATTGCTGGTAGTTTATTTGTAAATAAATGAAAATAAGTGAATATTGCTGGCAATTTATTTGTACAATTTTGTTTACAGAAACCTTTATCAGGAGAATGTAATTTTCATTCGGATTATCGATTTCGGTATCCGATCTTTCGTGCTAAATTTTTAAGGTTGATTATTTGCAATGAACTACGTGAATAATTTAAGGACATGCATTAGGCTAATATCCATTTGGCTATCTAATGTTTGATTCAGAGCTACATTAGGCATTCATGAGGAAGTAACTTATGAATAAAGAGTAACGTAAAATAATTAATCACGGGTCTGTCTGTCCAAGTCGTGGTTTCAGGTTGACTCATATACTGGTAATAGAGTGGGAGTTATTTCTTTCTCTCTGACAAACTTTTCTTTAAGTTTGGCTGAGCATAGTTTTACCTAACGAATTCAGCATCACATTTCCTCGCCTTGTTGTGAAGCACCAGCTTTCATAACTTCACGACAAGTCACCAAGTTATCCGCGCAATCACTGGGGTATACGAACTGAAAATAGCCTTTCCGATTTTTTTTTTTTTTTCAATTCATTAATGTGTCGACAAACATCTGCCCATTCTTCCCACACCTGTATTCCAAAATACCACTAGCGTATTTGGTCTGAACCCAGGGGCGTCAACTAAAATTACTCCTGTATAAGTCCGATTATAGCTTTGAAATATCCCTAGAATAGTTCATTTTTTTCTAAATCTTCGTTCGCTTCACTCGCCTACCCCCCACCCCCCTCCCCTTTGACTCTCCCCAAGAAAAATCTGAAATGACGACACTAGAGACTAAGCCCAGTGAAGATTCCCGTATTTCTTCGCTGTTCAAGCATCCTCCGTGTTACGCCATTCTTATCTGTTTTATCTAAAAGATACAACGATTATGAAGATCAATATGTTTCGAGAATCTAGTGATCTCTTAGCCACGGCGACAGAAGTAATACAGCTATATAACCAGAGCCTCACAACTCATCGCCATACTGGGACACTTGCTATACCGGTTCTGTTCCTTCGCCTTACATCTGCATTGGCAAACATCCCATATGTGTATACTTACTTTTTAACTGCAGATTTAGGGAGAACACCTTCTCGATATACGTCCTAAGGATCACCAGGGATAGATTTGCAGCTGCAGAAATAAGCACCCAAGCTAAAACTGTGAAAAAGAAATATGCGATAAAAACGTAGATAACAAAATTCAAACACCAAAATGAACGAAGATAATGTTAGCTATCTTATCTTGCCTTTCATTCAGAAAAAAAAAAATCCTCAAGAATAATCTATCACCTTGTTCGCCACGTGCTGCTGGGAGTGTACTGATATTATCAGTCTCAGCGCATTGTCACTAGATTGTCACTTCTACATTGTTCCCATCCCGCCGGCCTCCACAGTACCCACACTTCAGGTGAGGTTACACTCCATCAAAAGACTTCAAACGCGGTTTCCTGTATTCGTGCTTTGTTATTTTTGTTAATCGATGTGCTCTTGTTATTAATATTAGTGCCTTCAAGCAATGCACATGATGTAATCAATGTGCCATGACCGTAGATTACTATTCCTGAATACCAGGATTTGGAAATCTGAACTATAAATATAACTGCATGATAATCAGTTGCGTGAAATGTATTCGTTAATAGGAACCCAAAACTTCATACCTCTTTTTTCATGTCAAACACACCTGGTGATACAGCCCGCACTGCAATCAGCTTGACAGTCACCTCATACAGTCCTTCAAGTGTTGCCAGAAAACTGCTCATAAAACAAAACAAGACAAATAATCGAATTCTTACAATATTTATTTTAAATTTGTGATTTCAACAAAATAGTTGAAGGTGACGGATAGACGAAACAGAGACGATAATAACATTTCAAAAAGAAAGAGATTTTGGTAAGTCACGTGGCAACTGTTTGTGGAAAGTTGCATGATATGAATAACCAATGCTTCAGCTGTGACCAGTCTATAGATTATGCGACTAAAGCAAATCATTCGTCGCAATATGTTTAGAAAATTGTAAAATCCCATCTGGACGCTGGCTGTCTGATTTACATTTTCAAAATGAGTCATACGAAATTCACTTTTCGATTTGCTTTGGAAAATCTAGAATTACTTTGGGTCTTATTTGTGTTGAATAATATATATATATATATATATATATATATATATATATATATATATACATATATACATTTGTGTGTGTGTGTGTGTGTGTGTGTGTGTGTGTGTGTGTGTGTGTGTGTATGCGTGTGCGTGTGCGTGTGTGTGTGTGTGTGTGTGTGCGCGTGTGCGCGCGTGTGCGTGCGTGTGGGCGCGCGCATCAATGTGTGTGTGCGTGTATGTGTGTATTTATCTATCTACTTATTTATTTATCTTTTAGACGTGCCTTATCTGTGCTGAATCTAAATTGTCTTCGGGTGATAAGAAAGAAAACGTATAGAAAGCAAGCCAGTATATCTGTAGAGAAATTATTATCTACGATAAGATTTTTATGTATGCCAGTCAGCCACATACACTTCGATCAGACATACATGTACACGTATAGACACGAAATAATGAAACTATTGACGGAAAATTACTGAAACGGTATTTAGCTGATTTAGACTCTGGTATAATTAAGAGTAATGAGAAATACGATGAATTTGATTAAATGGAACATTTTGATTAACTGGAACTTAATCATTTTCTTGAAAAAAATCCAAAAGTAATTACAGTTTCTGGTCAAATTTTGGGTAGAATATCATGATGTAACTCGAAATATCATGTGTTTGTCAAAAAATAAAACTGCATTAACTTTTGGTCAAACTTTGAGTAAAATATGACAATGAAACTAAAAGTCTCAAGAAAACTGTAGAAAATGAATTAGACAAATACTTCTCGCAGATCTAATACACAAGGCGACTTTCCTAAAACGGACAACTATTAGACAAAATTTTGATCGATTCATGAACAATTTTCCCCCAAATCCACTTGTACCACACATGCAATCAGTCAGTACAATACCACCCATTACATTCAGCACCCACGATTAATCTCAGTACTTGAAAACTGTAGATATCGAAGGAGGCGGTAAAGCTGCGTATTCTTCACAGAACCGTGCCAGCGCGGACGCCAACTTGTAGACAAACGAAGGAAATTAATAAACATCACCATAGTAACGACGCGACGACATGGCGCAGTCAGACGTGAAGTAACTTGGTCAGCTGATATCACAATGGGAAGAAGTCAGGAGATGATACGAGAGAGTTGCCAGGATTTCTACTCTGTTTTTTTTTTTAATGTTGGGGGTGGGTGGCCGCGCGCTTCATGATGTGTGACGTAATCACATGTTCTCAGGCATGATTACCTCTTGAGAGCTAAAGACGCAGCGCGCGGCAAGAGCTTAAGTGTATTCTGGTGGAAGAGAAAAAAAATCTATCCCTTGCTGTTATTCAGTTTGTTTTGCTGATGTGCCACACATTATTGTTGCTTTGACAAGACAGCGTGTTTGGTTTGAGGAGGACCATGCATAATGGTAGAAAAATGGCAGGTTACATCGCTATTAGTCATATAGTGTATTTGTGTTTTGATCATTCATTCTGCTTACGACATTGCGTGAATATACGGAAGTGAATATACAAGTGTTAAAAACAAGTCTCAATCACATCCTCATCAAAACTGCCCGTTCCATGCGATAGTTATATGGCAAAGTTTCTGCGCCGAAGAATAATAAGCATCTACTAAACTTTGGACAGTCCTAATACCATAATACATATGAGCCATAATCCAAGCAACAAACTACGAAATTCTTATCGTTATTTATTTTCTTGTGGTTTCCGCGCCGTGACCTTCATATCGAACATGGGTGATTGTCCATAAAAAACGTCACAGATTGCAAATGCCTGCAGCCATAACCACGCACCGTAAAAGTTACTGGACAACTGCCAAAGTCCAAAAAAAATCGCCGACCCCATGTGAAAGATAAACGTTAAGAATTTGTTGATTACGTGTGTGCTAACATCAACCAGCGTGTTGGCGTATTGATTAGGGGTGATTCTGCCTCATTAATGATGAGGGTAGCTTGCCCCAAACTCTTTAGGTGTGGATTTCCTCGATGGACTTATTGATTTTTTGTACTGTATCTTCTAGCATAAGTACTTATTTGTTTGATAGTACGTAGAGGAAATCACTGTGATGGCCTTGATTTTGATAATAGAAAAGTGTATACCAGACAGTGATATGCGTAAATAAAAGTCAACTGATTTATGTGTATTTATCAGTAAGTATCTTGTAAATATTGATTGTGAAATGCTAATAATGTGTACGAGGTTCTATATTGCCTACCAAAATACATCACCGTTGTAAGAAAACATGAAAGACAGACATAAATAACAAATCTGCGAGGATAATTTTCTATGTATTATTTATAAACGTTGTGCTGATATAAGGATTTAATAAGCGGTGGTCGTACAATCAGTCTTGGGTATAGTACTGTAGTGAGGGAATCACGTGACTGAATCATACCTGAATGGTAGAAGATGAAATGGAGACTGCCAGAATGTAGAGGATATAGTGAAATGGAAATAGATGATGATAGGAGGAGAAATATAGATAGAACGAGAGAGAGAGAGAGAGAGAGAGAGAGAGAGAGAGAGAGAGAGAGAGAGAGAGAGAGAGAGAGAGAGAGAGAGAGAGAGAGAGAGAGAGAACGAGAGAGAGATTAGTACTTAGTTGATTCCATGGTCCTTCTAAGTGAGAGAGAGAGAGAGAGAGAGAGAGAGAGAGAGAGAGAGAGAGAGAGAGAGAGAGAGAGAGAGAGAGAGAGAGATTAGTACTTAGTTGATTCCATGGTCCTTTTAAGTGAGAGAGAGAGAGAGAGAGAGAGAGAGAGAGAGAGAGAGAGAGAGAGAGAGAGAGAGAGAGAGAGAGAGAGAGAGAGAGAGAGAGAGAGAGAAAGCAACTACTATACGCAGCAATGACAAAATAGCCTGTTTATATATATGAATACTACAATTAGCATTAACTATTATTCCATAAGGAGCACAAGGAAAGTTTTGCTCGTATAACATCCTCGCAATTCACACAGTCACGCCCACGTTTTATTAATCCTTAATTCAAAAAAAAAGAAAGAAAATGAAAATCTTTGATTCAGGTAATTACATTTAAAATGCAAATACTTGAATCGAAGGTCCACTAAGCTATCCCATGAATAAAAAGAAAAAAAAAACTATGAAATTAGATGTGAGTAAACTTTAATTAGAATTTGCCACTCATCACGCCAGTCTGTTCAAAAGAAAGCTGCAAGAAATTACATAAAACTGATGATACAGGAATGGGATTCACACCCACACCCACACAAATCTTATTGCAGATAAATAAAGAACAATTATTAGATGACAAACCTAAGAATACATTAGAATTCGTAAAAAGAGAGTTTAAACGGCATTAACTTCTAGCAGTGAATATTACTCTATAAATGAACTATAGATGAAAATATATGTGAAGAACTTTAAACAAAAGAAGAGGATTGAAAAAAAAGGCTTGGGCAAAGAACGTGTATTAATGAAAAAGGACAGGCGGAAGCGCGTTTTTAAAAGACTCAGTTAAAAGGCAGGCTTGTCCATATCTAAAGATGTAAGGAGAAGAGAGAACATTAATACTTCATTTACACCACTTGCCAAACCTTTCCTCCGATATAAGAACCTCTAATATAAGAACATATGCATACACCCTTAAACCTTTTTGATAAGATTGAAAGAATGGGGTAAAACGCCTATGGAGACAGAAAGGTTTAAACAGCGAGCGTGGAAGTGACCTTTCCCTCAATTAGCCACACAGCCTTTCTCAAAGCAAAACCCCGCAAGAGCAACCACGAATTCCAAAATGTAATAAAACCCTACCTTCCTTGGCCCCCGAGGTTTTAAACCCTAGGCGGGAATTTGAGCGTGAATATGAACCCTCCCTCACTTACCCATACAGCCTCTCCCAGAACAACAACAAAAAACAAGTCCAAAATTAAATAAAATGTAATAAAACCCTGTCCTCCTTGCCCCCCCGAGGTTTTACACCCGAGGCGCGAAGGCAGCGTGCAAATGACCCTTCCCTCTCTTAGCCACACAGAATAAACCACCCCCAAGGACAATCCAAAGTGAAATAATATGAAATTAAACACTGCCCTCCTACCCTCCCTGGTCCCGAGGTTTAAACCCGAGGCTCGAAGGGGGCGTGAATATGACCCTTCCTTCACTTAGCCACACAGTCTCTCTCAACCCCCCCCCCCCCCAGGACAGTCCAAAATTAAATAAAACCCTGGCCTCCTGTCCTCCTTGGCCCCCGAGGTATTAAACCCGAGGCGCGAAGGGAACGAGAGTATGACCTTTCCCTCGCTTAGCCACTGTCTCTAAAGTCAGAAAGACAGAACAGAACCCCAAGGGCAGCCTCAAAGTCCAAACTGAAATAAGACTAAACAAAACCCAGCCTTCCTTGGCCCCGGAGGTTTTAAACCCGAGGCGGGAAGAGAGAGAGAGCGTGAACATGACCTTTCCTCTCTAACACACACGGCCTCCCTCAGAATAATCCCCCAAGGACAGTCCAAAGGGAAATAAAATCCTGCCCTCCTTGGCCCCGAAGTTTTAAACACGAGGCGCGAAGGTAGCGTGCATATGACCTTTCTCTCGCCTAGCCACTCACTCAAAAATAAAATAAAGGCAGAGCAAAAACCCCAAAGGATAACCTCAATGTCCAATAATGAAAGAAAGCGAAATAAAACCCAGCCTTCTTGGCCCCGAGGTTTTTAAACCCGAGGCGGGAAGAGAGAGAGAGAGAGAGAGAGAGAGAGAGAGAGAGAGAGAGAGAGAGAGAGAGAGAGAGAGAGAGAGAGAGAGAGAGAGAGAGAGAGAGAGAGAGAGAGAGAGAGAGAGAAAGAGAGAGAGAGAGAGAGAGAGAGAGAGAGAGAGAGAGAGAGAGAGAGAGAGAGAGAGAGAGAGAGAGAGAGAGAGAGAGAGAGAGAGAGAACATGACCTCTTCCTCTCGAACCCTCACGGCCTCTCCCAGAACAAAAGCCCCCCCCCCCTAGGGACAGCCCAAAGGGAAAGAAAACCCCTAGCCTGCTGCCATCCCTGGCCCCGAGGTTTTAAACGCGAGGCGCGAAGAGGGAGGGAGAGAGAGAGAGAGAGAGAGAGAGAGAGCAAGAACATGACCTCTCCCTCTCTAACCCTCACGGCCTCTCCCAGAACAAAAGCCCCCCCTTAGGGACAGCCCAAAGGGAAAGAAAACCCCTAGCCTGCTGCCCTTCTTGACCCCATGGTTTTAAACGCGAGGCGGGAAGAGAGAGAGAGAGATAGAGAGAGGGAGAGAGAGGGAGAGAGAACATGACCTCTCCCTCTCTAACCCGCACGGCCTCTCCCAGAACAAAAGCCCCCCCTTAGGACAGGCCAAAGGGAAAGAAACCCCCTGGCCCTGCCCTCCCTGGCCCCGAGGTTTCAAACGCGAGGCGCGAGGGAGCGTGCCTGCGGCGCGGCCTCGGCCAATGGCAGCCTCTCCCTCGGCCTCCATGTTTGTTTGTTTCTCGGCGCTTGAGAGGAGGACGAGTGGAATAGAATAGAAAGTTGGTCATTTCAGCTTGCATTTTGCCGTTAAAACTGACCCTATATTAAATGCAGGTGAGTGCGGCCTTGCCCTGGAGCCTGTGATTGGGGCGAGGGAGAGGAAATGAGGCCGATTTGGGCCCGAAATAAGGAAGAACTTAAGTGTGCCATCGCCAGACTGCTTCTTTCATTAAGTCTCTAATGTTCACCAAGGTTAGGGCAGTTCACCTGTTCACCTGTTCACCTGTTCTCTCCCAGGTGACATTTATCCTGCATTTATCCTGCGTTTAGTCCCGACTGAGGCCATTTATCCCTCCTCTGCTGCGTTTTGGGGGGACGTTTTTTGGTGGAAGGTAAAAAGGCCGTGATGTTTGGGGTCTTTATCATTTTTCTCTCTCCCAGGTGACATTTATCCTGCATTTATCCTGCGTTTAGTCCCGACTGAGGCCATTTATCCCTCCTCTGCTGCGTTTTGGGGGGACGTTTTTTGGTGGAAGGTAAAAAGGCCGTGATGTTTGGGGTCTTTATCATTTTTCTCTCTCTTTTTTTTCTCCAAAAGTTGATTTCGTTCTTTGATTTTTTTTTATCTGGGTTACTTTTGTTCTGTTCAGTTCATTACTTTCTGTGTTGTATTTGCCATGTTCTTTTTCCCTAAAAGTAATTTTTTTTGGTGTTTTGGGGCCAGTTCTCTATTTACATGAGAGCTCTTCCTGTTTTTTTTTTTGTTTTTTTTTTTTGCTTATGTTATGTTGATTTCTTCACATATTGTCTTAGTCTAGCCTGTTTTTTGAGTTTCATTTAGGCTGCGTATTGTTACTGTTTAGCTAAATCCTCTTTTTTTCGACTGTCCAATTCTGGTTCAATAAGGTGTTCTCTTTTGAAGGTTGTTTGCTTTTGTTTGTTCGTATTGTTTTCCTGATTTTTGGTGTAGTGTGATATTTTGTCTAATTTGATTTCTTTCGCTCTATTTTTCTTTCTCTTTCCTTATTTTGGGATAGGCCTATGGTATTTAGGAGGCATATGGTAGAAGCAGAGAGAGGTGTTATGTAATTTCCAATATAAACCAAAGGGAAAGCAAGTCATTTTTAAAACCTGTTATTACTCTCAAGTTGATTTGTCTAATTCATAATGATTAATTTTGTATGTTGAAAGCTCAATGAAGACTATCAGATATTTAGAAATTTATTCTGCCAAATGTAAGGCATCTTCAATATTGTCTTGTATTTAATGTTTTGATTAATACATGTTGTAAAGTATCTGCATTATGAACTTAGATTATGGTTTTAAACATTATATTTAAGATATGTTAAAGAGAATTGCATGATAAATTGAAAAGAAGATTTGAAGTTGCATATGGATAAGGAATTTGTTAAAATCACAGTTATAGCAATCATCCCAGTGTAGAAGCAGGCAAATGTATGGAAAATAAATCAAAGGAAATATGAAACAACGTTATCAGATTCAAGTGGTGATATGCGAGAAAGAATTTTAGTAGGAATGTGATAGTAAGATTTAGAGTTGCATATGGATAATGAATTTGTTAAAATCACAATTTTAGTAATGGTCCCTGTATAGAAGCAGACAGAGGTATATAAGAATTACTGTAATGGTGATAAAGAAAATTTGAAACAAGATTTTGGGGAATTAAAACATGATCTAGATAGCTCCAGGTCCATAATTGCTTATAAGAGTCAGTAGATCTGTACATTGTGATACAGTTACCTCCATGCTTTTGGTTCCAACTGTGCTAAAAAGAAAAGAGATAAATTCAGTACATATAATCTAGCAAAATTAGCCTTCAGATCTGTATAGCAATATGCTGTCAAAAAGGAACCAGTTTATGCTTTGTATTTTATCACCTTAACTACCATATTGTCCATCTGTTAATATTCTATCCCAATATTTATTCCAAATGATTGCCAGATACAGATATACCTATAGTTCATGTGAAATAGTGCATAGAATCAATAAGATGATAAAGTCTTAGTTTTTTTTTCACCTTGCCATATCTATCAAAAAGTTTAGATTTGCTCAAAAACATTTTTTTTCTTTTTTTTACAATTTCTGACAATTCCATAAAAGAAAGAAATTGTTTTACTATCTAAATTCCTCAAATTATATCTTGGTAAACGTCATGCAGCATAGAACTGTAATTTCACCAAGAATTGTATAGTTATGGCTTCCCATGTAATTGTGCCATATGGTTCTGGTTGTAATATTTTTTGGCTTGGAAATCTTCTGCACAACATATTTGTTAATGTCGGTATATATTGATATAAAATCCTCCGGTAGGAATGTAATTAAACTCAAAGTAAAATTTTGTTAAGTTAGTTAGGTTGGTTATATTGTTTAGATTATCTGTAAATGCAAATAATTTTAGTCTTTTATTTGGAATAAGCTTTATACTAGCTTCTGAAAAGGATAAGTTCTCCAGATATATATACACAGAAAAGGTATGATATATACTCAAGCACATGTTAGGCTTTCATGTTATTACATCTTTATATAGTATAGTTTTTGATCTGATACAAAAATTCTCAGAAATATTAATGAAATACAACAATGCAATGCTTGCTGGGTTGAAGGTTCCATATGTGAATGCATATTTGTGCACGTTGCACAAATGAGGTGTTATTTAAAACCCTATA